CAGTATTTCATTTTTTTCAAAGTGCCCGTTCTTTCAAAAAATGTGTCTTTGGTATCAAAAGAAAGCTGAAATTCAGGGCTATTTTTTGATACCTAAGCGAGCATTGTAGCATAAACCAGTGTCGAGAAAAACTCGTTCAAAGCTAGACTACGCAACACTCCGCACCGGCATTATCGGGGTGGGGTACTATTACAGTTTCTACGGTAGTACCCAATCTTACTTCAATCTTAAAACAATTTCACTCATTTTTATGTGACTCCAGACAAATTGTAAGCCTTCCTTTAACCGGTAGTGAATAATCTTCTCAAAAACATTCAAAAACAAAGACTCAATCGATGAATCATCTTTTATTTGACATATGTAGATTGTGTTCCTTGTCTATTCACCCTTTTTTTTCTTTTGCCCATTTCTTTCTCAGCTTATATTTTCGTTTGGAAATGTGCGTTCCGTGGCGTTTGATAAGATATCGATCTCGTTTCACTCACACTCACACTCACACAAACACACTCACACAATCGACCCCCGAACTTACATTGCTTTTTACCTAAAATTTCTCAATCTTAAGTATTTCTTGCGAAACTTAAAATGTTAAGTTGATCTCAATAATCTTTACAAAAAAAACCCTCTTAATCACTAGAGTATTTCATTTTCATTTTCTTTTTGAATAATCTTTACAAGGAGCCCCTCTTAATTACTACAGCATTTCATTTTCATTTTCATTTTCAAATAACTCTTCTGTAGATACATTATTTGAATAATCAACACTAATATTCTTTAATGAAAACGTTGGATGAGGGGATTTTTCCTGCCTTGTTTACCCAAGAGCTCAATAAAGGTTTTTTGGGTCTTTTTTTGGGTCGAAATCTCGGCTCACAAGTAGACAGTAATCGGGAAACGCTTTTGAAAGTGACTATTCGGTTCGGTGTTCAGAAAAGTCTTCTTAAATCAAAATTTACACGTAAACGATAGCACAATCACAATAAAGAGCAAATTTTTGGAATTTTACACGAGTAATGAAGAGAATTAAATATATACATCGGTCACTCAGGATGTTATTTATTCGACACGATAAACACCAATTGACAATACATTATTTGAATAATCAACACTAATATTCTCTAATGAAAATGTTGGATGAGGGGATTTTTTTTCTGTTTTCCTGCCTTGTTTACCCAAGAGCTCAATAAGGGTTTTTTGGGTCAAAATCTCGGCTCACAAGTAGACCTCTTGGCAGTGAGTTGCAGTGATACGCAATTCAATATTTGCATACATCCACTAGAATACCCAAATTTTCTTTCAAAAAAAAAACCCCGATGCTAACATTTTTAGGTTTTTATTTTCTCTTTTTCTTTCCTTCCGACACAATCAAATTTCCTCCAATTACCTTGAATTCTCATTTTCGAAATGGATTCCAATTTTACGTAAAAAGCATTCTTTCTGAATTTTTTGGCCTTTTTTTGTTTATAAATAAATTCAGAAAGCGTTCATCATTGAGCTATTAATAAAAGAAATAATTCATCTAGCTTTTGCGCGAGTTGCCTCAAACCTCATTTGGTGTGACCTCATTTGACCGTTTGGGGTGAACGAGCCAAAGAGAGATCGCTCTTGTCCAAATTTGGTCACCATTGTGCCTGGAGGGGGATAGTGAGAGAAAAGGATTGGGGGTGAGAGTCGCGTGTCTCTCCCAATTCTCCACTCTCTATTTGGTGGTACCAGCTGACTGGGACACCATCCCTTTCACCCCGTTCGAACTATATCGATTGATACCATTTGGTCCAAAAGAATGGCTTCATCCTTGAGAAATCTTTCTTTCCTTAATATCTCTTTCACCGAAAAAAAAAACATTGCTTTTTTTTCAACAAATACTCTTGCAAATTTTATCAACAGGTGGTAGTCGACATTTGGTGTCATTCACTTAATCAAAAAAACCTATCACATGTCTTTCTTACATTCTTCAAACTATTCTATACTTTAGCTGTTTATAGCATACAGCTCCTTTCAAAACCGCGTTTAAAAATCACACGGCGGTTATCGAAATATAAACAGGCCGTACTAGGTTTGAAATCTTTTCCTTAAAGTTTAAATTCTTTAAAAAGCAAATTTTTTTATTTGTTTATCCTGTAACAAAGGAATAAAGGGCAAATTTTTAGCGTGGAGCCGCAAATCACCAAGGTCGCTAATATCTGTTGTGATGACCTCCTGGCACCAGATGTGCCCGTCCCCTCCCCTTCCCTCCCCTCCCCCCTTCCCCTCCTCACTACTCATCCTCAATCTTTCTCCAGTCATTTATCTTACCTTTTTTTTGCACTTTTATTGCTAAATAAATTTTCGCCTTTTCAACGGTCATTTCAGAAAAATGACTCAGCTTGCAAACGACTTTTTGTTAATTCTTGCTCTATTTTTTTCTAGAACCTTTTTCAGTCTTATAGCTAAATTATCTATTACTAGAGAACGTATTTCATTACGTATTATCAACATTGATAGGCGATTCATGTTTATTGTGAAAATCAATACATGGCAAAAGTGGGGGAAATGAAAAAAAGGGGGAAAGACTAGTGATTGTATTTTATTTCACAGGAAAGGAAGGGTGGCAGAGAAAAGAGGAAACAGACGGGAAAGGCACCGATTTCACTGATTCATCCCCTATAACGAAACCCATTTTTTGTCATTTCAACTGTATTTACATTAAAGTTCTCAGCTTGATCTCTCACCATCGTTTTCGTCGACTTGTTTCTCATCAAGTCATCTTTCAGTTTCTTTCAGAGTCTATGCAGGAACGAAACGGATGAGAGAGCGATCAACAGTGAAAAGATTTTTGTGGTGGAGTGGAGGAGGAGGAGGAAGGGGATCTCCATTTCTCTCAATCTACTCCATTCTTATATTCACTTCTTTTCTCCAAACTACCTTCACTCAACATTATCCCGTTGAAATCACTCCTGTCGACGATGGAGTCGCGAAATTGGCTGATGAATTCACAGTGTTTGTTTCCTTTTTTCTATATCTATCAAATCATTTCTCAATTTCAGCTATATTCAGATGGAAATCGGACAAAATTTGAGTCTTTTATGTCACAGCTTACAAGCAACGAAACTAATGTGAGACAGTGTAGCGAAAAATCAAAAATAATAAACCTTTTAGTTGGACTTTTCCAAATGAAACGAATTCAAAACTTGCTGGTTTTGATGAAGAAGATTTTGAACGGAGAATCATGGTTGAACAAGATGATCAAGTATAGAATCACTTCTAAAGAAGAGATATTTAGACCATACTTTAGAATCCGATTTTACACATTCGAGATCTTAAAGCAACCGATACTGGAATGTATTCATGTATGGAAGAAAAGCAAAAGGATAAACACGATTCGATTTATCTTTTTGTCAAAGGTATTTTAAATTTTAATCAAAAAAATTAAAAGAATTCAGGTCCAAGCACTTTTCTGAAAACTAGTGTCTTTGCATTGAATGTGGATCTCTCGAAATTTGTGATTCCATGTCGAACATCTTCACCAATTCAAAGTATAGTTTATGTTGAAAAGAAAAGAAAAGGAGAAAGAAAAGAAAAGCAAAAAAAAAATTGATTATGTTAAGCTTTTCTTACAGGAGAAAAGATGAAGTTATTTGTGAATGATGAAGAATGGAAAAGAATGTGGGAACATTACAATCCAAGGTGATTTTCAATAAAATAATTTTATAAGAAAAAAAAGTTTCAGAAAGGGTTTTACGCTGCATGAAAGTTCTCTACAAGATCCATTAATTAACAATAAACGTTTTCGATGTGAGTACGATAATGAAAAGGAAAAACCTGAATTTTTAATATTGGTGAGTTTTTTTTTGAATATACTTCGTCCATAAGTGATGAATCAATTTCAAAAAGAAATATAAATCTAAAAATAAAGTCACTTTAGCAATCCGTAGGCGGCCATTCTCATGCTGCAATAAGACCTCTTTCAGATTTGCTCTTTTTCTTGAATCTCAAGAGCTTGATTCTGCAGTTGATTGTTGTAGAGTTAAGTCTTGTAAAGCTTCGAGAGTTAAGTCTTGGCTTCCTAGCCAATAACTCACAGCACTCCCAGTATTCAATAACTCCCAATAACAGCTTCAATCAATCTTCCGGGGCGGTCACTTTTCTTCAAAGATTTCTCCCCATTTTTAAACTTGTGAAACGATCGATCAAATGTAGTCTTGGAGTCTTGGTTTCCTAGCCAATTTATTGGATATTATTGGATACTGGGAGTGCTGTGAGTTGGCTTCCTAGCCAATAACTCACAGCACTCCCAGTATCCAATAATATCATGACCATATACTTTAAGGCTAAGCTTCAAGTTGAGCATTTATCGAACACAACTAGCATAACAGGCTAAATATGCAAATTGGCAAAAGAAGTAGTTTATAAAGAAATAAGAAAGCATTTCAAATCACTGAAAGTCTTTTAAAATAAGGGAAATCTTTTGTCTCTTTTAATGGTAAACACTAAGAACGCCAAAATTCCTAACGCCAAAATTTCTTTTCTTTTGCTCTGTCTCATTACTTATGGACCAACTCAATATAGTAAATAAATTTCTCTTTCCAATGAAAAATTCCAGGCCGATCGAAAAGTCGACAAGAGCTCTCTGCGGCTTGAGATTGAACCCAAGGATAGCTGGGCTTACGAAGGTTTGCTTTCATTTTCATTAACTAGTAACACTCAAGATTCAGGTGCCGAGGATTACACAATTACTTGCACTCTGTCAAGTCAATTAACGAATTTACACATCAATCCTCAAGAAAATCGTCTCGAGCTTAAATGTCCTCGTTGCGCGACGAAAGATAAAGATTCGGTAATAGATAATAGAGTGAGCGAGCTCTTGAGTCTAAAAATTTTAAGCTCTTGAGCTCTTGAGTCTAAAATGAGCCTAAAATTTTGAATAAGAAAGAAAATTTAGCTTAAACAAACGAGAAAGCGTTTGGACAACGATCGAGCAGTGGCATTGATCGTGACAATTCCAAAATTGACAAGAGAAGATGCTGGAGTTTATAATTGTTCTTGGTGAGTTCTTGATGAAAGGATTTTTATTTTATCATTTTATCTTTGAAATTTCAGGCTTGAAGAAACTGGCGGTACTTTGGAATATCGTGATTCGACAAACTTTCATTTTGAGATTTCTCAAAATAAAGGCCAAATTCGGGTAATTCCTTTTGCAAGAGATTGAAATTTAAAAAGATTTCAGTTCGAGAATCACACAAATGAACCGATTATTGTAAAAGAAGGTGAAACGATTGAGTTGAAAGGTTTTTTTAAAAGTAAAGAAAGGAAAAAGAATAATAAAGATACTTTCAGCGTTGGTTTCCGCGTTTCCGTTTGATTTGCCAAATTATAACTCACGGTGGAGTCGAGTGAGTTTTTGATTGGTTTTGATTGGAGAAAAATGGTTTTTGATGGTCTGTAATCACTTCTTTTAGACATATCAAACATCGGAAAAGGTCGATGACGAGATCTATGAATCAATTGTTAATGATGACAACAAAAAGGTAGAAAATTTCAATGTACTCTTTAAATAGACTGCGCACCAAAATGTTCGAGATAAGATGTGTATCTATCCCTTGGTTCAGGCAGAATATTTTATTAAAGCACAGAAGGGTTTAAATACAGAAAAGTTGAGGGGGAAATGTTTAGAAATGTCTAGAAATGCCTATGTTTTTGCTAGCTTATGGCTGGGGAAATAGATCGATAGATTTCAAAGAGAAATAAACTTTATCGGAAGAAGTTCCGAACAACTGTAATTTTTCCCATTTTAGACTGATAGTCGAAAGAGTAATGATGGGAAATCAGTCGAAGAGTTGAAGATTCTAAAAGCTCGACCAAATGACTCAGCTGAGTGAGTAATATGAAATAATAGAAAGAAATTAATAGCAGTAAACAGCAGTAAACAATACTTTTTTTTTGCAGCTACACCTTGACTGTTAAAGTGGATGATATCGTGAAATCAATAGAGTGGAAAATAAAGGTTCTCACACCAAAACCGAGAGTCAAACTTGAAGCCCTTTCACCCAACAATTTCGTGCAATTCAATCAGAAATATTACAAGGTAAGAAGTCGAATGAAAATTATGATTCTAAACATGGAATAGACAAACTCAACAATTCTCATCCGCTGCGTTTCGACGGGACTTCCTTTGAGTAAACCAAAGTTATCCTATCAACAGTAAGTGAATTGAAATTTATTATAAGGAGAGGTTCTTTCGTTTTAGAAATTCCAGTCACCTCCAATAAGTTTGTTTATAACTCTTTTCCAATAAGAACTGCCAGAATTTGGAATCGACTCCCCAGAGTTTTGAGAGAGTCCAATAGTTTCGAAACCTTTAAATTATCTGTGGATCCTTGACGTTATCTGTGCTACCCACATTTTACATATATTATATCGTGTTTCTTTTTATCGGCCCTTTTCGTGTTATGTGTATGAATTGATGTGTTTTAATCTTAAATCTAGCGCACTTTATCTCAGGTCCCGAATAAAGTATCTATATAAGAAATATTCCTTTTAGAAATGGTGTACAAAATGAAGTGAATGAGGAAAATCTCGAGAAATTGGAGGGAACTTTCGAGAGTCAAGTCCTTTGGAGTACCACCGTTCTCGATGATTTCGATGTTATCTGTTCGGCTGAACAAAACGAAATAGTCTGTTTTTCTTGAATCATAATAAAGAAGTAAAGAAATTAGCAAGAAAAACGTCCGGAGAGGGGATTGAACCCTCGACCTTTTGCTTGCAATTGCCCTAACCATTGAGCTATCCGGTACCTTTAATTCGGAAGAGAAAGAAGGAAAGACAAGAGGGATAAGTGACTCAAACTCTAGCTTTATAAAGAAAGTTCTAACTAATTCAAATTTCAGAAACAAACCGAGTCACTGCATGTTTTGGCCGCCGAAGAAGCACACGACGTTTGGACTAACACGAGTAAAAGTTCGAAAGCTGAAGAAAACGAGGATGATGTTTGATCGAAAAGTTATCAATAATTTACTTCAATTTAGAAAACAGTGTATGCTGGTGATACTGTATTGCTGTCTTGTCGAGCTATCAAGGATGAGCAAGTGTATGTGAAATCGTTCGAATCTCTCAAAAAATCTTTTCCCATTTTTTAGATCAATGCGATGGTTACATAACAAGGTTGAAATGAAAGAGAATGTCGAGAAACGACAGCATGAACATTCTGTCATTTTGGAATTGAGAATTGAGGTAAACAAAAGAGAGCAGTGACTTTGATTTCTACAAATTTCCTTCTCTTTCTTCCTTTCTCTTGTATTTCCTCTTTCTTCACTGCCAAGCAGATACCAGATAGCTTAGTGTTAGAGCATTTTCCTGGGAAGCAAACAGTTCGAGAGTTCAATCCCCTTCCCGGAAATCTTCCTTGGTGTTCCTTACTTTTTATTTTACAATTATTTATTTTTATCTACTATATATAAAAGGCAAGTGTCCGTCTGTCCATCACAGGCACTGTGACGGAGATTTATAAAAGGATTTTTATAAAAGGCTCCTCACTCGGCGCCCAGAGCAAAATTCGGGACGAAAAACCCGGTTTTTCGGCTTTTTTGAATATAAGAATATAGAATTATTATAGAACATCACTGTGCAAAAGTCGGGGGATTATACGTGCGAAGTGAAGCAAAATGGAAACACGACTCAAGGACTCGATCAAACCATTAGAATTGAGGTTTTTGTTGAGAGAAAAAGTTTTCTTTTAAGAAACAATTTCAGGTGAAAGGCGTCTCAGCTCCACTTTTACTTGAAAGTCAAGAAGAAACGGTTCGAGCAAAAACCGGTGAAGAGCACAAATTTGAGTGCAAAATGAGCGGCGTTCCAACTCCAATTATTACATGGTTATTGGCTTGGCTTCTTTGTTTTTTTAAAAATAAATTATCTATAGGTGGAAAGACGGGAGTCAAGTCACTGAAGGAATCACAGCTGATGGATCGCTCGTCATACGTAATAAAGCTCTTTTTTTTGTGCTTTTAATTTTAACTCAATTATTTTAGCTAAAATGATGATTGAAGATAGCGGTAAATACGGTTGTATTGGAAAGAATCGAGCCGGTCAAGCCACTCGAACCGCTTTTCTAGAGGTTAGGAGAAACACAAGATTTTCATTTAATTATTAGTTTCACCCTTTTTTTTCTATACAACCATAATTCAGGTAGAAGGTGAAAAACGGGGAGCCGGTTCGATTATTTTGGTGGCTCTCATCGTTCTTGTGCTTCTTCTTTGCGTTTGTGTTTTCATTTTTCTTTGGATTAAACAAAGAAAAGATCTATTGAACAAGAAAGGTTTTTTTTTGAAAATCGAAAATCGAAAGCTATTTCTATTAGATCCTTGCGAGTGTTGTATGATGAATTGATGAGAGGTGGTAAACCGGTGTCACAAGAAGTTGCAGAGATGAAAATCCCACTCGATCAACGAGTCAGCCAAATCTCATATGATTCAAAGTTTGAGATTGATAAGGAAAATCTTGAAATCGGAAGAGAAGTGAGAAAAGGGATTTTGATTGTCATTGAGTTTCTTTTTAGTTGGGAAAAGGAGAGTTCGGGAAAGTGTCAATGGGATTTCTGAAGAAGCCAGCTCGAGTCTCTGATTCGACAGCTGAAAGAGTTCGGCTGAATGTCGCTGTTAAGGTAATTTACTGTTTTACAGATGAACAGTATCATATGGCTGACTAGTTAAAAGCCTTGTATCTTAGTCGAGAGATCTGGGTCGAGAGATCTAAGTCGAGAGATCTAAGTCGAGAGATCTGAGTCGAGAGATCTTAGTCGAGAGATCTGAGTCGAGAGATCTGAGTCGAGAGATCTTAGTCGAGAGATCTGAGTCGAGAGATCTGAGTCGAGAGATCTGAGTCGAGAGATCTGAGTCGAGAGATCTAAGTCGAGAGATCTTAGTCGAGAGATCTTAGTCGAGAGATCTGAGTCGAGAGATCTGAGTCGAGAGATCTTAGTCGAGAGATCAAGGGTTCAATCCCGTCAGCAAGATTCTTGATTTTTTTCCATATATGAGTTTTTTTTTCTTCTCTACATTTAGGGCTTTTGTATTCTACCATATTATTAATTAATAAATAGATTAATTCAGGAACCGTTGAATGGTTTCAACATTCAACACCAGCAAATGCTGATCGATGAGCTGAAAATCATGTGCGCTATTCGACCGCATCCAAATGTTCTTGCGCTTATTGGAGCTGTAACGAAAAACATCAGAGAGTAAGCAAAAATTGAATCATTAAAAAATGTAACCAATTTTATCCATATTTTCAGCGGTCGTCTTTTTGTTGTGATTGAGCTTTGTGATAAAGGAAGTCTCAAAGATTTCCTTGTGAATCTCAAGAGAAATGTCGGCTCCTTTAAAGATGAATTGAGAAGAGTTTGTTTGAAAATCAAATTTTTGTGAAAAAAAATCCAAATTTTTAGGCTCCAGATGACGGATATTTAGCACCAAATTCAAAACCAAAAAAAATCTACGCGGTAAAAGAAATTCTTAAAGAAATTGGGGATCATAGAAATTTAGAGCGAGATGGATGAGGAGAATGGAGATCTTCCAACGATAGTCGACGGTGAACATGAAGCTCTCATTCACAACCAGGTTACTTTTAAAGTCATTTATAGACCGTATTATATTTTTCTCCTAAAACAAACCCCTTACAGACAGCAACTCTTTGCTCAACATCAGATCTCCTCTCATTCTCTATGCAAATCGCGAATGGGATGGAATATCTGAGCAGTATTCCGGTAAGTCGTTAAATTTTCAGACTCAAAGAGTTTTTCTAAATGATGCTATTCAGTTATCGTTGTATTTTCTGAAAATGATCAAATTGTTAACTATTGAAAATGTTAACTATTGAAAATTTCAGTGTTTCCATCGCGATTTGGCCGCAAGAAACGTGTTGCTCACAAAGAACAATCTTTGTCGAATCGCGGATTTCGGAATGGCAAAAAGCAGCAATAAAAGCTATTACAGGTGCCATTAAAGTATCGGGATTTACTTTATTTTTACTTATTATTAAGTAAAAATTATTATTATATTATTATTAAGTAAAAGGATATTACTTTATTTTTCTCTACATCTCAGAAAAGATCGTCACGAGATTCCGATGCCGGTGAAATGGATGAGTCCCGAAACAATCGAGAATGGGTATTACACTCAAGCGGTCAGTTTATTAAAAGGAAAAGCTGATCGAAATCGAAAATCATTAGCGTAATATGATAAAAACTCGTTTTTTTTTAAGTCTGATGTTTGGTCATACGGGATTCTGTTGTACGAGATGTTCACCCTTGGTGGTCAACCATATCCAAGTGTTGAGGGAAAAGATGTCTACCAAAAAGTGTTTGATGGAGAAAGAAATAGACAACCAGAATATGCACATGATGATCTGTGAGGCAAATTTTATATGGCCAAATAATGAGAAGATTTTAGGTACAATTTGATGCAACAATGCTGGGAATTTGATCCAGACAAGCGACCGCTTTTCACTGTTAGTTTCAATACTTGTTTAAAAAGGGATAAGGCATCCTGGAGGCATTGGGATACGTATCGGTGTGGCTCATTGGTAGGGCATTCGCTTGGTAAATGACCGAGTGAGGGAAGGTTTGCGGGTTCGAGTCCAGGCATCGACCGTTCTTTACATTTTGGATTTTTGGATTTCAATTGGAATTCATAAAAGGACCCATAAAAGCATAAAATAGCCGTTCAAATGCGTAGATTTTCGCATAATCTAGAGCTTTATCACTAAAAAAAATTTTCAGGATTGTGTTCAACGATTAAAGGATCATTTGCAAAAAGCTTCTCCTGGTTTTCTTGATAAAGTTGAAGAAGAACTTTCATTGGAATGGAGTCAACTCGATTCGTACACTGGATGGAGAGAAGAACTCTTAGCTGAGGTTAAATAATACATACTCTAAGTAGTAAAAACAGTTTTAGCTTTCAATACAAATTATTGATGACAAGAAATGAAAACAAAGAATAGAATTGTGCCATTTTGGGTGAGGTGATTGAATGAGGAAAGATTAACTTTACTCAACTGTGTCAATTTTTCGCCCCAGTGTGAATAAGTGGGGGTGGGACAAATGCGACCTTTTTTTGCGCACCTGGACATTTGCGCACCTTTTTTTTGCTGGAAAAGGCCTTAGGCAAGGCCGTAGAGCTTCAAAAATGTTTTCATAGAAGGGAATCGTATGCGTAGATTCCGAATTTCGACAAATCAGACCTCGCTGACACGTCAAATTTGGGCTAAAAGGCAAAAACTACGCAACTTAACGCTTTTCCGCAGTTTTTGCCTTTTAGCCCAAATTTGACGTGTCAGCGAGGTCTGATTTGTCGAAATTCGGAAGCTACGCATACGATTCCCTTCTATGAAAACATTTTTGAAGCTCTACGACCTTTCCTAAGGCCTTTTCCAGCAAAAAAAAAGGTGCGCAAATGTCCAGGTGCGCAAAAAAAAGGTCGCATTTGTCCCACCCCCGAATAAGTTTAAAAAAATTCTTTTGTATGATCTCTCATGTATATTGACTTTGAAATATCATAAAATTTAGCCAACAAACATTCTGGTCGAACGTCCTCCACTGCATTCACCAAATGGGAATCAAGAACGAATCTACGTGCAATCGTTTCCACCAAGAAGATGAACTATAAAGCGTTTCGAGTACCGTAATTCTTGAAATAGAACATGATAAGAGCTATATTCTGTTACAGATTACGGTAGCTATCATCTATAATTCTGATTCCTGATTTTTCTTTTTCAAACAATGCCTTTCACTTTTTTTTTTGCCCCTGTGCTTTTGTTTAGTCATTTTTTCTTTTTTTTTAATGTTTATGCATCGATTTCCTTTTTACTAGTCTTCTTTCATTCATTTTCTTTCTTTTCCCTTTTCGCCTTTCTGTAAAAACCCGGTTGAATTCATTAATTTAAAAAAAAAATCATACTTCATCCATGACTTAAATAAAATTTAAAGTTTCTCAACATTTGATCTGAATATTTTTCAATTCCTCCATTCTCATCATTGATTCCCTTCCTCCAAAATGATTCGGGTGCTCTGCGATATGTTTTCTTCTCTCTTTTTTTTATCTTTTAATGCTTTTAATATAAAGTTTTGATAGAGATAAATATTTTATTTGAAAAGTGTTAAACAAATAAACAAATGTACAAAGAGATATCAAATATCATTCAACATTTAAGTCCAAATCAAGACGAATATTGCCGAGGTTCAGAATTTGTGGAAGAAAAAAAGGCAAAACGTCGATCTTTGTCACTCTTTCCATTGGCCATTCATCAGCCTTTTTACCTAACATAAAAGCCGTAATCTTTCTTCATCTATACTTCATCTATAAGTTTTTAACATTTCTTTGGTACTTAAGGGTTTGTAAGACCCGCAGTCCTCATATACAGTGGTCCACAAAAGTAATGACCCATTGCCATCCAACAGTCCCGCAGTCCAACAGACCCGCAGTCCTCATATACAGTGGTCCACAAAAGTAATGACCCATCGCCATCCAACAGTATGTTTTTCATGTCAGGAATCTAAATAATACAATAGAATACATTTAATGTTCATAGAAGGAGAAACAAAAAGAATAATCATGAAAACGACCAATGGGGCATTACTTTTGTGGAGCTAATTTTAGGGGTAATTGCACTCTTCCACATCGATCTTTTGATTGGAAGGATCTCAATCAAAAAAATCCAGTTATTTAACAACTACAATTTCTAAAGTATTTTAAAAGAAAAAAAAATATAGATTTTAAATACATGTTTTCAGGAGGAATTTTGCAAAAAATACTTTTGAATGGCAATGGGGCATTACTTTTGTGGACCACTGTATGGCTATGGATCCCTCAACAACAATTGACTTCAACAAATATATGAGGGATGTTTGTGTTGAATGCCTAACAGCAAAGCCTGTACAACAAATTGGTGGCCCTGAATGTATTGTTGAAGTGGATCAAAGTAGACACAAATTCATATATGAGGACTGCGGGGCTTATAATCCATAAACACCCATTTTTTTTTTACCTATCCATGTACCCTTGACAGGGCATCGATGCTTTATTCGCAGGAATGGATCCGGTGTGTTTGATGGGCCGAAATCCGATCCACAGCCACTCACTGGAAATGAAGAAAACGGTGATTACTCAAAGTTCATATTTCAGCTATTTTAACCGTCTGATGACTATTCACAATAGATTTTGCTTGAGCTTTTCTTTAAATGCTTACCTTTAAATGCGTACCTTTAAATGCTTACCTTTAAATGATCCATTACTTTGTGCAAATGTTTGCCCCATTAAATCATCAAGTTCCCAGGGTAACGCTAAAAATGTGTAATAGAAAAATTGTAATGTTTTTAAAAACTAACGATCATGATCGACAAGTTCAATTTGTGCACCCGTCAACAGATCGGGATGTGATGGACACGAGACTTTACCTTAAAAATCATTTTTTTAAACAAAGCCATTGCTTTTTTGTGCCCTTGCAAACACTTTCTTTTTCTAGAAAATTCAATTTTTGTTTTTTAAAAACACAAAAACTTTTAGATTTTAGCAAAAAGTTTTAGATTATTGACTACCAATCACAAGTAAACATTCGGTCTTCGACGCGGCTCCATAAAAATAGTTTATAAATAGAAATAGAAACGAGAATAGTTGAATCATTTTCGGGGAATTTGTGCTCAATGATAAGAAACATTTGAATTGTGTCCTTTCTTTGATTAGATTGTTTTTTTCTTTCGATTTTATCAATCGATCACTTTCATTAATGTCTTAATTGCGCAAACTTTTTATTCAAAATCTACAAAAATCTTTTTATGAACAAAAACTAAGGCAAATTTCTGTTAAATACAAATTTTCACTGTCTAGTGAAGTCTAGAAGAATTAAACCACGAGTTTGTCTCAGAGGATTTTTTTCTGTCATTAGAAAAAAAAATAGGAGAGAGAGCCAAGAAAGACTAGGTTTACACAAAATTTTGGCACTTTCTCTTCGCTAATATAATTGCCATTTTACAGCAAAAAAAAAACGAGAAAAGGAGAGAGAAATCACAGAAAATGCGCAAAACAAAGATTTTATTTAGATACAAATTCGATTCATTCTTTTTTTATGCCATTTTAGAAAGAAGTTAAAGAGCGGTGATTCGTTTTTTAAACGTGAAATATGAAGCATCTAAGACATTAAAACATTTAAAACATTTAAAACTCCCGAGTGGGACAAATGCGACCTTTTTTTTGCGCACCCGGACATTTGCGCACCTTTTTTTCCGCACCTTGCCCATTAGCGCACCTTTTTTCGCGTTTTAAAAAAGCTCTAAAAAGCTGATATTAACCAATTTCTATTCCAAATGTTGTTTTTCTAGGTAATTTGAGGGTGTCGAATTCAAATTTTGACATAACAGAGCGTGTGGAACCAATTTGAAAGACAAAACGGCTAGATCAAATTACAGAAAATTGTCGATTTTTCTCTTTGTATAACTCCGTCCGTTCGCTTCCACAAGCTCTGATATGTCAAAATTTCGATTCTACGCCCTAAAATTACCTAGAAAAACAACATTTGGAATAGAAATTGGTTAATATCAGCTTTTTTAGAGCTTTTTTAAAACGCGAAAAAAGGTGCGCTAATGGGCAAGGTGCGGAAAAAGGTGCGCAAATGTCCGGGTGCGCAAAAAAAAGGTCGCATTTGTCCCACTCCCATTTAAAACATTTAAACATCGATCTCTTAATCGTGATTCAAATTTAACAAAGACCGAGTTTTCCCGTGTAATGAAATGAAAACCGTAAAAAAAACCATGAAATCGAAAGATTTTTTTTCGAATTAAAAGAAATCCTATTCTATATGTGTTATAAAATGAAGAATATGCTTTCTCGTTCTCATCGAGAATTCCCATCCAAAGAAGACGTCTGTTTTGAGCGTTTCTTTGGCGGTTGAGTGTGCACGATTGGCGGGATTTGCTGTGTGGCCAATGCCTTGAAAACTTCAGCAAGTAATTGAGAATGTTGATGCACAAGGTCTTGCCATCCATCTGATTGCATTACCTGAAAATTTGTTTTTTTTTAAAGCCTATGCAAGATTTTACAATTTAGCTATTTGATCTAAGTGTAAATACATCAGTATGGTATTTCTAAACAAACCTCGTTTGCGTGCACATTAATGAAATTGATGGAGTGTTGCCGTAATTGATCCGCATTGTATAAATCGGCCAAAACCAACGTCATACAAGCATTTTCGGCTGTCAACGCCAGACAGAGAGCTTGCTCGCACATCACCTAGAAAAAGATTCTATTAATCAATAGTTCTATTTTGTCTCTTTGTCCGTCACGTTTCATCAATAAGTTCAACGCCGTGTGAACAAACTGGGATTAGTAATTGAGAAAAGGAATTAACGAAGAGGCAATTTTATCGATGAAAAAATAAATGGTTTTAGATGATTTAGGTTTCGAAATGTTTTACCCGTGCAAACGCTTAAACATGCTCTTCTTCCTTCTTCCTTCTTCCTTCGTCCTCCTTCCTTCTTCTTCTTCATGATCTTCCTTTTTGTCAAGATCTTTTTTTGTTTGTTTACCTATTTATATGTTTACAAGCATTGTCAAGCAAATCACTTTCCCAATCCCGAAAATCCCCGGATACAAATTTACAGCTCAATATCTTCTTTTTGTATTACCTATAAAGTAAAAGAAAAATCTCTATGTAAATGACTGGCGAGGTGTTCTTTGTGCGGTCACGTAATCACCGTAAAGCTAGCTAAAATAAGACGCGTACGCAAGTACGCAAGCGCTTGTATTTCGTGCTAAAACTTTCGATGAGATAAAGTGAACAAGCAATTGTTTAAAAGCAATCAAATTGCGAGCTCTAATTTGAGACAAACCTTGAGCCGATGCAAATCATATTTGTCAGCGGCTGCGATGAGATTTGGAGCCATAGCATCAAGACGGGGAGAGGTGCCAGTGTACATAAAATGGAGCATCTCTTTCACCACTTCCGCATCCACATCATCAATACATACCTAAGTTGAGTGGTTTCTATTTCAAATCTACAAACAAATCCTTTACCTCACTGGTTGAGCTTTCTTTCATCGGATGCTCAAACATTGATCGAAAAACTTTCGATCTGGCGGCGAGTACAGCTTTATGAACCTGAGAGTTTTGCTATGAGTTTTTTTTTTTCAAATAAGTATCCTACTGGAATTTCAGCCGTTGTGATCACATTTCCCTCTGTGTCCCGTTCAGTGACGATCAACTTTGATTCGGAGAAAAGATTTGACTCGAAAAGATTACCCAAATCTTCCGAAAGTTTACATTGTGGCACCTAAAAGTAAAGTTTAAGAGAGGGAAATGACTTCTCAACCTTGAACAATGAAGAATTAGATTGGCCAGTAACATTCACCGTCTCTGCAACAACCGACACCTGAAATCATTTTACTTTAATATGTACGTGTAATTATTTTTCTTTTTTTTTTCAGTTGAGCTTTTTTCGAAGCTAACTTCTTTTTGAACGAACCTCGCAGAAAATGCTGAGCTTATCCTCGGGAAGCAATCCATTACTCTCATCAAGAAGAAAATCGCGTCGAATGAATTTCTTGAAACCCCAATCTTTTCCTTGCACGAATCGATAGGCTCTTTGTGATTCTAATAGTTTTATTTGAAAGAAGAACGAAATTTCAATCTTACCCATCGCTTTCGTTTCTTCTCTTTTCGCATTTAGAATCGAGAATTTGAACTTCGCACGCACCTCGTTTTTGTTGCATTGAACGAGGAGTAAATAAAGCGAAAGATAATCACGAGACTCTTCATCAAGCCCTAAATATTTAAGTATTGTTAAATATAAATATCAATATTGCTGTACTTATTCCCCCACAAACCTTTTGGATTAATTCGTAAACACCATTTGAGTTTATCATTTGAACCAGCGGAAAATGTCGACGATTTGAGCACCTAAAATAAAAAATTAGTTTTATTTTGTTTCGCAAAATTTCCAATAATTCCCTTTTCACTAACCTCTCCCATTTCTTCGCGGCAAAAGCTAAAGTTGTTAATCGTCCACATGTAGTTGAATTTGACGACTTTTACCTGGAAATTGTGTGAAAATTTTCTACAGAATTCAGTTTGAAAAGATACCTGTGTGTGGCACCAATTCTCAGCCACGGGCATCATCAAATCACCGAGACTTCCCGAATGTGATGGAAGAGGAGAAGATGCACGATAGAAACCTCCTTGATTTGCCGAACCTGGCCCACCAGACACCAAATCCTCCTAAAAGCACAAATTTTGTATGTCTAATACTTTGCCATATCATCGCTAACCAAAAAACCGTTTCATTTATATATATTCAAAGTGCTTAGGCGGCTCAGAGAAGTTAAATATCTCATATTCTTCCCACTATAGCGTTTTTTTGAAAAAGTGATCTTGTTTACGATCATAATTTCGATAGTTTGAAGAATATTTAACCTTTGAGAAATAAATACTTATCTCGTTTCTTAAGATTTTCAATTACATACAGTGTAATGCTAATCAAAAAAGAAACGAACTCTAACCTGAGGCGATCCATCGTCGGCCATACTTTTTGAGTGAACAGGAAACTCGGGGCAGCCGCACACAAACACAAAACGGAAATGATTGGTCGACTAAATAATTTGGCTTGGGTTATCGATTCAAATTTACAAGAAAAAAAGGAAAAAGACGGCAAAATGAACGCAATGAATTCGACAAATAGAAGAGAGAAAAGGAAAGAGAGGAGAGCAATTGACCTGTGGATGGAGAAAGGATAGAAAAGCACGATGAAGGGATGTGCAAAGGAAGCGAGTGGAATGCCCATCACCGAATGATTGAGGAAATGAATGACATTCACAAGTGGAGAATTTTGTGAATGAAATTGTAGACTGATTGGATCGAGTGATATGGTTCTGAGCTTCAAAAAAAAACCGTGTCAGATGGCCAATATTTGTGCTACTAAAATAACAGCAATCGTTTGCAAGGAAATTCCATCCCATTTTGCTTGTGCAATGTTTAGTCTCGAGCAATTGCAAGAAAACTTTATTAAACGAATAAATTTTTATCATAAATTCAAATCCAAAAAAAAGACGATATGAAGAAAAGAGTGGGTAAGTGGATTGTTGTAGGAAAGGAAACAAATAGACAGCAGAATTGGGAAGTGAAGAGAAAATCAACTTGAGATCGTTTCTTGTAAGAATTAAACTAATCGTTACTGTAATCAAGGCTTTGGTTGAACCAACAAAATCAGAAAAGTAGTCAAAAAAGAATTTCTAAATTTTGGGTATTTTTATTGCAAAAGATGACTATCACACGAAGTATCTACAATGACTAGAGCACTCGGCCAAAAGAAAGAAAAAACAATTTCAATATATTTCACGATTGCAAGAAAAAAAATGAGGCAGAAATAAGAGAAAAATGACACCATATGTATTAAACGTTTGATTGCATCGAGACGGGCTGAAATTTTTGATTATTGCTGACACTTAGATTAATTTATCTAGCAGAACGATTATTATACCATTATATTAATCGGATTACGGCATAAACTCTTTTTAAATTGAATACCTGGATCCTACGGGGCTCGGTAGCTAAATGAGAGAGAGTCGATCGGCCAGTTCGTCGATCCCGTTCCGAGAAGGCCACCTCACTCTCATCCTAAAAAAAGTGCGTGTAAAGTACTTGCTCTTATTCTCATTGTTCTTTAGTTGTCTACCATAATAATTTAAGTTTCTTTTAACCAACATTCACCTTGTCATATTTGATGACAATCTCGGAATTGATGTTAAACGTTTGTGGTTGAATGGTGCCATCGGGTCCGCGTTCAAGGTGATGCTGTGGTGGGATGACGATATGCTGTGGAATGGTGAGCCCACCAGAAAGCGGCAAGTTTACTTGACCACTCGATTTTCTGAAAGAGAACAGATTTTCATTTAACTGGTTGTTTTACTTTTGATCGTCGCTGCTTCTGTGACCTTTTCGATCAGAAACGGGTTTCATCGGTGAACCGCTCGTCTCCGAGTCACTTTCGTAATGTCGACTCTTGCTGCGGTGACGTTTCCGATCTCCATGCCGACATTTGGTGTAATCTAAAAAAGGAGTCAATTTTGAGTTGAAGTTTTCATTGTTTACCTGTTGATGTCTCTTCACTTTCACTACCATAACCTCGCGAATCGGCTACTGATCGACTTCTTCCTCTTCGATAAGATCGTCGAGAATGATCTCGTCCATCTCTGAAATTGTCGCAAGTATTGGTTCTTTCTGCTGATCTATTATTCTTGCTATTTACCTGTGTGATCGATGCCTCTTGTCTTTATGATCTCTGTTTCGATCCCTATCACGATCCCTATCACGATCACGATCTTTGTATCGATCTCGTCGATGCCGAGATGAACTTCTAAAAATACATTAATAGACATAGGTGTAGAAGATTTGTAAAAATTCAATTCCAAAATACTATTCAGGAATTATCTATATGTTTAAAGCTTATAAAGTTTATCATACCGATAGCGATGATCGCGATGGCAGCTTGCAGACTCCTCAAATAACGATGGCATCGATCTTGACGGCTGAAAATTATTCTATTCAAAGTATAATGTAACCAGGAAAGAATTACAAAATCAAAAATCCTATGTACCTTCAAGGGACGCCGTCGATCCTCGAGATATGGTGGCTCGGAATCAGCTTTACTTCCATGTTGGCCTGTAAAAAATTTGCGAAATTATCTTTTAACGTCTCAATCTCACTTCGTCTTTGTTGATCTTTCACCCAACTTGACACCAGATCCTCATCATCATCGGACTTGAAAATGTTTGGTACCGCTCCTCCGCCAACTCGTGACCCAGGCTCACGGACATAATAAACCTACAAAAACTGAATAAATCATTGGAAATTTTTCTGTTCACCGTATTTGGATCTTCTGGATACGGAGCTTTTCTGATGGGTTGTGGGGGTGGTTGAGGTGGAGATGGACGAGGATATTGTGGTTGTGGTGGATACGCTGGATATGCTGATGGATAAGGAGAATACGGAGGTAATGCTAAAACTTTTTCCAGATAAAATAATAGTATTCTAAAAATTACGATTTTGTTGATTGGGGAATGGACGAGCGACGAAACGTTCTGGCTCCGACGAAGGATAATCTGAAAACGTTTCGTAAAGCTCTACTGAATTGAGAAAAAAGTTACCAAAACGTTCCAAGAGATCGCGTCGACTTGCGTGGCTTCGAGTGCCTGGGCGATAGTTATCTAAAAATTATTTTGAAAAGAAAATAAACAAATCAACTGACTCTTTTTTTCATAGTAATCCCATTCCGCTTTCACACGCGTGTAGAAAGTTGAAACAACGACCGTGCAAAAGATCTAAAAACCTTGATAAAATTGATTTTATTTTTAAACAAACATTGATAAAAACTCCAATGATCTCAAGGATTGTGAGCGCCAACCAATAGTCTCGAACATCTCCAGCCCACCTGTGATAAATGAGAGCTAGAGTGTGTTTCTCGCAAGTAATTACTCGAGTAAAATTTGCATGAGCAATTTTTAATCGACGTTTTTGATCGAGTAACTACGAGTGATCCGTTTTACATGTCGAGTAAATTGAATATCTTTACATTTGACGGGAATTTACCACCAAATCAATTAAATGGCTGAATATCTTTACATTTGACGGGATTTACCACCAAATTAGTTAAATGGCTGAAAATCTTTACTCTTGAAGGAAAGTTGCCATCAAATCAATTAAATGGCTGAATATCTTTAAAAGGAGTCGTATATAATTCGGTGCTCGTGATTTTTTTGCCATTTTTTTGGAATAATTTTCGCTAAAGCACGGTAATTTTTTCCAAGTTTGCGTTTTAAAAAAAAAACAACGCATTACTCGCGAGGAATACACTCTAATGAGAGCGATGAATTGCTTTGTTTCCACCTACCACATAATACAATATGCCAACGAGCTGAGAATCGAGGCGATCATGCAAACAAACCAAGGCATTATCAGATAACGAGACCACTAAATTTGATTTTTTGATTGATAGTTTGCATTTCGATTTTCTAGCACTCACCGTATGCACCCCGTAAATGAGAGCCACGCCTGCGAAGAGCAAAAAGAAAGCCGAGATCAAGCAGAGAATTTGGATGATGAAAAGTCCTAAACGAATTTATAATGTGCTCATTTTTTTTTGAGGCATTACAGAAATTAGTGGCTTGATTTTTGTTTGCTCTAGCTTTCCCTACCTATGTAATATCGCTCTTCAGGCGATTGCCAATAACTCTCATAATACGAAGGGATATCATATCGTCCATAGGTGTTATAATTGGGCAACAAAGTGTTCGCAGCTCTAGTCAAATAAACGATGATTCGGGAGAGCAAAAAAACCGAACCTGTCCTTTTCATACTTAATTGCAGCCATCTGCCAACCCATAATTCCGAGCTGAGCGATCGAGAAAACCTAAATTCTTTTCTCAAAATCAGTGCACAACACAAAATTCAACGCTTTTTTTACGCTCGCTCAGCTCAGCTCGGATCACAGTTAGGCAGCAACTCAAAGAAAGTTTGGAAAGCTTATTTAGTAAACTCAAGCCACAATTTCTGTAAACCCTTTTTTTTCGGAGGTTTTCAGGCAAACCTTCAACAATGCTCGTGGTTCTTGCGGTCGTTGCCCCGACACATGGACACTCTTGAACACATTGAAGATTCGCTTGAGACATGGTGACTGAGCGACAATTGTTGAGAACGCCTGTCTGCCATGACATCACCGCAATCGAGGCCAATGCAAAGATCTAACAAAAAGAAACAAAACTAAAGGATAGAACAAAGATTGACTCGACAGTAGTTCGATTTTTGATTAGTGAAATCCTTGCTTAACGCTGAGCGAGCGTTTTAGTAGATTTGAATGAACTCACAACACTCCAAATCCCGCACACAACCGCTCCATCCTTTGGTTTCATACAACAGCACGGGTTGCACGACATATTTTAGCTGTAATTGTAAAATTGGCTTTTCAAAGAATGTAATGTTTACCTTTTTGGGGGCCCTGATGGGCCCCTTTATCAACGAAAAAAAAACTAGTAGCTGGACCGTTTGCTTTTGAATTCCTGCACACTTCAGGTTGGCTCAAAAACGTGAAATAGGAATTTAGAGCACAAATTCATCCAGCTCGTCAAGCTGCCAAATTTTTGCTAAACGAAAAAATATTGCAAGATGAAAAAATGCAAAAAGCAAGGTGGAAAAAACGATTTTTTTTTTGATTCTGAATTCGGAATTGATCATTTTAGCCAAGAAGGCAATGGGGGAAAAGGGGAAAAGCAGAAAAAGCGATGAGAAAGGAGCGATATGAGAAGAAGAAAAAGAAGTAAGAATAAGGGAAAAAAAGAAATGGAAAAGAAATTGGTGAATCATGTGATAGCTTTTAGGGCAATGCAAAGAATCAAAGGTATCGATCATTGGGAAAAATGGAAATGATTCATTGTACAAGGATGAGTCTGCGAGATTCCCTCTAATCGACACCTACTCGACTTTCCCTTTAGTGTTAGTCATTTGGAATTTAATTTCAAAAATTTTTGAAAGACTTTGAAACCTGGAATCTCGATTTTTAGTTTTTCAGAAAGATTTGCTACTCAATAATTAAAGATTAAACTTGCAGAAGTACACGAGTTTTGAAGTTAATCAAAGATTACTAGGGATCATCATAAAAATGAAAATGAAGTAATCAAGAAGTAATCAAGAAAAGTGATTGACTAAAACTCTAACAAAAGAAAGTCATGCATTGTGGCAGAATTGGTACAAAAGTGTGATTTTGGTTTTCCTCGGCCAAGCTGGGAGATGTTGCATTCATTGAGTGATTCTCCCTGCCGATTTCATAGAGACAACATCTTTTTCTTCTTTTCCCCCGCATCTCTTATCTGTATTTACCAAACCACTAGCTCTGGTCCCCCAAAATAGGCAAGTAAAGCCAAAACGTTGAGAGGAATTGATTATTTTAGGCTAAACAAAAAAAAACAACAATGTACGATTTGAAGACAAAAAGTTGTATATGTAGATAGAAATCTGTTTCGGAGAAGTTCTCTTGTTTTTTCTCGATCACGCTTGGCCGATTTTCCGGCAAATCAATAACCAAAATGTACATCAAAGAGAAAAGAACTGTCAGAAAGAAATGTTTTTTATGAAATGTTCAGCATAAGTTACAATTCGAATTCATTTATTATTTGAATTTACACCATCAACTACAGTCAACTAAAAATATAACTCTTGACTCTCGCTTGGGATTAAAAATTTCGATTTAACGATTTTAAAAAGTGCCCCAAATTTCTTGCGTAGTTGCCCTGAACGGTCGACGATTGCGTTTCGCTGGGCAGCTACGTAGAAACCAAGGGCGTTTTTTAGAATTTCAAAATCGTTGTATCGAGAGATGACTGCATAGCTTAAACAAAGCGTCAGTCATCTTTCAGCATGTCGAGTGATCATGGGAGAGTCCTGAGAAATGAAATATGGAAATTCGGTGTAGTGGGGAAAAGGCATGAGAAGGTTGAGTGAAGCTCTCGGGTTTCGTTCAGTAGCCAAAGTGGAAGTGGACCAGGGTGGATGGGCGCTGTCGCTGTGGATGATAGAAAGCCAAATGGTCAAAGAGGAGAAGAGAGTCCTTTCAATGGTACACAACGGTGGTGGGTCCCTTCCCCGCCTCTCCCATTCATGTTTGCACACCATGGTGGCGCAACGTCGATGCATGCACTAACGGGACCGGGACCTCTTCCTTTTCTTCCTTTTCTTCTTTTTGCACTGTTGTCCTCCTTTCCTTTCCCCGAAATTTTCTCTTCGTTGCCTTCAGCCAATCTGTAATCCAAAACAAACACCTCTGACTCATCTCCCCGCATTGCTCTTCGGCGCTTTAGACTTGTGAATATCGATATTTTCTGTAAATATCGATATTTTCTAGTGAATTGGAAAAGTTCCAAAAACTTATAGATAGATATTCTCTGATTATGAAACTCTAACAAACATTAAAATTGGTATTTCGAAGTAAAAGAATTAAGTAAAAAAAAATAACTATAAGCAAGATATGAGAAGAAATATAAAGCATGAAGCTCATAACGACTAAAAATGAAGCTTTTTTGTGAATTGTGGACACCGGGTGGACAAACACGAAAATGAAATGAAGAAAGAGGCTTGCCTTGGTGCAAGTCTTCTCGAGACTCCACATTGTTTGTTTGCCATTGCAAATCGAAGTCAAGGCCATGGGAAGTCCTCATTTCTTGAAGTGAACATCTAATCTATAGGTCGGTGGGTATGACATGTCGCTATTTTTCCGATTGATCCCTAAACTCGTAAACAAAACGGAGGGGGAGGCTGTTGCGTGTAACTGTTAAAGTCAAGAACACTTTTCCAAAAACAATAAAACCGGGCTTCCTCACTTTCTGTTATTTCGAAATTTTAGCAACTTTTACTGTGGCCATTGATAATCTGTCAATTGGACATTTGCGTTATGTTGTACGAATTTCTACAAGGAAATATAGGCCTCTAGTGTTCAACTGATATTAAGAATATTTATGGGGAAGGATCAGCTCCACTACGGACATGTGCAAACTGGTTTAGTAAATTCTGTTCTGAGGATAAATCCTCGAAGACAAAGGGAGGGATCATCTAGCAGTCCAGCTGGATAGTGCCAAGTTGCTCGAAATTTTACAAACCAACAACAGACTTTCTTCCCGCAAAATAGCAAAAGAGTTATTAGTTGATCATACAATAATACTTGAACATTTGCATAAATTTGAGTTTAAATCAAAATTAGGGACTTGGTTTCCAAATGACAGACACCTTGAAATGCCAACGCGTTTCAATCAGTGCCGTTCATCTTTCTTGGTGCGAGAGCAAATCCTGAAAGCCCGAAAAGGCTGAAAGAGGGAAAGCCTGAAAACGACGTCATGCCAAATGTGCATGAGAAAAAGTTTATGCTCTCGGTGTTCTGGGATTTGAAAGACCCCATCTACCGAGAACTTTTGGATAGCAAGACAACGCTTAACTAAATCAAATACTCTGAGAAATTTAACAAGTCGGCGGCTAAAGCTTTGCTAGAGAAAAGACCCCAGAGAAAAATCATCCTTCAACATGCTAGATCACATGTTTCAAAGATGACTCGTTCTAAATTAAATTCACTTGGATGGGAGGTGATGGCCCATCCGGCATACAGCTCTGATCTTGCACTTTCTGATTACTACTTATTTTGGGCAATGAGCAATGATTTGGCCAAGAAACGCTTTGATTCCGAAGATGATGTCAAAAAGTGGCTCACGGATTGGTTCGCATCCAAAGCAAAAATTTTCTACGGGAAAGGCATTCGGTCTTCGGCCAGTAAAATGAGCTCAAGTCATCGAAAATAATCGAGAATATTTAGAATGATTGCATGTAAAATATTGAATAAATCAGTTGTTTATTTTTATCGACATTTCATATCCACGAACTCAATATTAACAATATTGTAAGGCAAAGAAAATATAGAATTTAAGGGAAAGCGGTAGAGCTAGTTGCAAAGGAGGAATTAGAAAATAAAGTTCTGAAGTTTCCACTATAGTCAAAGAGGTGAGAAAATAGTCGTACATGAAGGGAAAATGAACGGGAATGGGATACCAATGGGGTGTCCCTCACTCTTTTCGTAATGGTAATTATGTGATTTGCATTTGGTGGTAACCACGCAACGGATTATCGCTTTTATACATAACATCACAGCGAAAAGCTTCGGTGGATTTCATATCTCTGTCTTTCGTTCATTTATGGTACCATTACGCTTCATGAATGAACGAAAGACAGAGATATCATTCATGAAGCGTAATGGTACCATAAATGAAAGTATTTCATCTCATCGAAAAGTAAAACTTGCTCAAAGGAACAGAGAAAGTGAACACTACTAAATTACGCGTTTTTAGAATGTAGGTAAACCGTTT